GGAAAGAGTCTCTCCCAAGCCTGAGTGAAGTCTTTTCCACCATTCGGAGTGAAGTCTTTTCCACCATTCGAAGTGAAGAAGGAAGGAGGGGAATCATGCTTGAAACCCCACTGAATGAAGGAGCAGCGCTGATTGCCACGACTTCAGCAACAACCAATGGAGATTCAGTGAAACATGAGACTCCAAGGACCCTGAATAACACGACCAGACCTTGGAACAGCGGTAGAGAGATCAAACCTTCGAACAACAATAGAGAAAATCTGTTTTGTAACTACTGCAAGAAAACAGGTCATACCAAAGACATTTGCTGGAAACTTCAGAGGAGAAACAACCTACAGTAGCAGTATGTAGTGTGCAATTAAGCTGCCAACATTGCTAGTACCGAAGAAGACACTACTACTGTCGAAGTGAATGGGTTGAATAAGGAGGAAATTGAAAAACTACGACGCTTTCTCACTGCAATTGAAAAACCAGCGGGTTCATGTTCCATGGCCCAATCAGGTAAGTTTTCCTCAACTCATTCCTTGAGTACTTCGAAGAACAGTTTTTTGGAATTTGGATAATTGACTCAGGAGCCACCGACCAAATGACATTTTCTTCCAATATTTTTTCATCTTATACACCGTGTTCTAGCAGCCAAAAATAAAAGTTGCCGATGGAACCTTTGCCGCTGTTGCTGGAAAAGGAACCATAAATCTCATGTCTTTTCTTTCTCTAAAATCCGTTCTTCACGTCCCCAAATTGTCAGTCAATTTAATATCAATTAAAAAACTCACCTCTGATCTGAATTGTAAAGTGATTTTTTATCCTGCGTATTGTGAAATTCAGGACTAGGATACAGGGAAGATGATTTGGCATGCTAAGGAATAGGAAGGGCTTTACTACTTGGACACTGGTGGTGGTAATGGTGAAATCAGTTGCATTTCGCAATCATATTTGTCAGAAACCCAGTCTGCTGAAAGGGCTCAAATTTGGCTACATCATGTTAGATTTCAATTGTTATTTCATAAGAATGGGTCATCCATCTTTTCCTTTGTTAAAGACTATCTTTCCCTTGTTATTTCATAAGATTGATGTTAAATATTTCAATTGTGAGGTGTGTCAAATGGCTAAACACCATAGAGTTTCATATCCTTTAAGCAGTTCAATAACATCTCAACCTTTCTCTTTAGTTCATACTGATGTGTGGGGACCCTCTAGAATTTCAAATATTAATGGGGCTCAATGGTTTGTTTCATTCATAGATGATTTTTCAAGGACTACTTGGCTATTTTTGATGAAAAACAAGTCTGATGTGAGTATAATTTTTCCTATGTTTAATAAAATGGTTTCCACTCAATTTGGTGTTTGTATTAAACACATTCGGTCTGCCAATGCACGAGAATATTTCAATCAAGTAATGTCACCATTTCTCCAAGAAAATATAATCCATGGGTCCTCTTGTGTTGATACTCCCCAACAAAATGGGATTGCAGAAAGAAAAAATCGCCATCTCCTTGATATCACCGTGCTTTGTTGTTTGAAAAAAATGTGCCTAAATTCTATTGGGGAGAAGCCGTCCTAACAGCCACATATTTGATTAATCGCTTGCCCAGTAGAGTGTTAGGAAACAAGTCACCTATTGATATTCTCTCCACTCACTTTCCAGATGTTAAGAGAACCCAACTTCCATTAAAAACCTTTGGTTGCACAGCCTATGTCCATATCTCGGAGAAAAACCAAAAGAGCAAACTTGATCCAAGAGCTTTCAAGTGCATCTTTCTAGGATACTCATCAACACAAAAGGGATATAAATGTTATCATCCGGCCTCAAGGAAATTTTTTGTCTCTAAAGATGTCACTTTTGCCGAAAACCAAAAGTTTTATGATCCAAGTTGCCTTCCGGGAGAAATGAGAACTGAAGATAACCTTGATTTCCTTCAATTTGATCTATCAAGTTCAGTTCTTACAACCCCAATTCCGTTGAATTCCGATCATGAACATCCAGCAAGTCCATTGGGTCAAGAAGAAACAACCTTGTCTAGTCCTGCCCGACAAAATAGTCATGTTCTCGAGTCTTTCCCAAACCAGTCGAGTCCTACCGGTGAGCCTAGTGAAAATCGTCCTCAGTCCACCTTTCCACTGCAAGTGTACTCAAGAAGAAAACTAGTTCTTGAACCCATGCACAACCAATCATCTGAATCAAATCCAAGTAATGAATCCAACTCTTCTTTACTGCCTCAGTTTCATGATCTTTATATTCCAATTGCTTTAAGAAAAGGAACACGAAAATGTACCCAACATCCCATAGCCAACTTCATTTCATACGACCATCTCTCCTCGTCCCATAGAACCTTTCTCACCAAATTAAACACCATTGAAATTCCAAAAAATGTTCAAGAAGCACTTGGGAATGGGGAGTGGAAAAAAGCCATGATTGAGGAAATGAGAGCACTTGAGAAAAACAAAACTTGGGAGATTGTGGAGTTGCCTAAAGGAAAAAAGGTGATTGGGTGTAAGTGGGTATTCATAGTGAAATATAATGCGGATGGGACTCTTGAGAGATATAAGGCCAGACTTGTTGCCAAAGGTTACACTTAAACATATGGGATAGATTACATAGAAACATTTGCCCCTGTAGCCAAAATGAACACCATTCAGATCTTATTATCACTGACAGCTAATCTAACCTGGACTCTGCAGCAATTTGATGTAAATAATGCTTTTTTGCATGGAGATCTAGAGGAGGAAGCCTACATGGAGGTTCCACCTAGATTCAACCAAAACTTTGGGACTAACCATGTTTGCAGGTTGAAAAAGGCTCTATATGGTTTAAAGCAGTCCCCAAGAGCATGGTTTGGAAGGTTTGCAAAGGCCATGGAGAGAATTAAGTACAAACAATGTCAAGGAGATCACTCTCTTTGTCAAAAGATCAACAGCTGGGAAGGTCACTGCTCTAATTGTGTACGTTGATGACATAATTGTGACAGGTGACGAAACAGAAGAAATTAGAAAGTTGAAGACTCATCTCTCCAGGGAGTTTAAAATAAAGGACCTAGGAAAGCTCAAGTATTTCCTAGGAATTGAAGTCGCTCACTCGAAGCTTGGAATTTTCCTCTCAACAAAAATATATCCTGGATCTACTCAAAGAAACTGGCGTGCTCGGATGCAGACCATCTGAAGTTCCCATTGACTACACTCACAAGTTGGGAGAAGCCGTTGAAAGTCCAGAAGTGGATAGAGGAAGGTACCAAAGATTGATTGGTAAACTTATCTATCTATCACATACCAGGCCAGACATTGCTTATGCTGTAAGTATTCTAAGCCAGTTTATGCATGCTCCACGAGAAGCTCACCTGAAAGTTGCGTACAAGACTTTGCAGTACTTGAGGGGCACTCCAGGAAAAGTAATCTTATTCAAGAGAAATGGCAGAATCGATTTAGAAGCATACACAGATGCAGATTGGGCAGGATCAATCATCGATAGAAGATCTACCACAGGTTACTGCACTTTCCTAGGAGGAAACCTGATAACTTGGAGGAGCAAGAAGCAAACTGTAGTCTCTAGATCAAGTGCCGAGGTTGAATTCAGAGCAATGGCTCAAGGTATATGTGAGTTACTTTAGATTAAAATTGTCCTAAGTGATTTAAGGATCAAGTGGGAAGAAATAATGAAGCTATACTGTGATAACAAGCCCGCCATCAGCATTGCTCATAATCC